TTATCTTTTCTTCAGAGCTATACCAGGTCTCACTCAGGTGTTTTTTTTTTTTCTTTTTTTTTTCTTTTTGGTACTGGGGATTGAACCCGGGTCCCTGCGCTTGCAAGGCAGGCCACCGAACCGCTGAGCTAAATCAAATCCCCAGCCCTCACTCAGGTTCTTTTTTACATACTGTACTTAAAGATCATTTTCTTTCAAGTAAAACTAAGAACTGAATTAAATACAAATCCATGACCTAAACTGATTATTACTGGTAAATATTAAAAGACTCTTAGGCATATATAAGAGAACAGCATTAAGTATCACATAATTAAAACATTTCTAGCTCCTATCACTTCAGACTGAGTACTAACTGGTACTTTCAAGTTCTTACCAAAGTTATTGGTATCTCACTTTAAAGACCACAGATAATCCAGAATTACTGGTCAGAAAAGCCTTACTTTGAGTGTAACTTGAAATTCATATTTACAACCACTATGAAAATCAACGCGCGCTGCCACCGCAGCTGCCAGAGCCAGCGCCTGGGGGGCCCCGAGTCGCGACACCGCGCCAGCGAGGATGTGCGCAGCGACTTCCAGCGCAGGGTGCCCTACAACTACCTGCAGCGGGCCTACCTCAAGGTACCCGGGCCGCGCGCTTCTCCACACCCCACTGTTCCCAGGCTCTGGGATGCTCTCTCTGCTGAACCCTCCTCCTTCTGCTCCCGACCGCTTGGCATTGCTCTGCTTTACTTCTTTCGGGCTGGGTCTCTAAAGCGTTGGTCTCAGGATGGCGACTCTGGACACCGGGTGGGTCGGGCTCCTCCCGAACCAGGACTCTATGAACTTCGGCAAGTCCTTTTCCTCTCTCAGCATCAGCTTCACTGTCAGAAAGCAGGCTGTGCATGCATGGCGCTGCATGTCCGTAATCCCAGCACTCGGGGAGGCCGGGGCAGGAAGTTCCTAAATTTGAGCTGCGTCTGAGCAACTTGGTGAGTTTAGCAAGACCTTGTCTTAAAATTAAAAAAACAAAAATTTTTAAATTTTAAAAATAAAAAAATTAAGGCTAGGTATAATGTAGGTCATTATGAAGGCCCTCATTTCTTTCTCCAGTGCCACTTATAAAAAAAGGGGGGTGGGAGTAGAAATTCTGTACTGATAGAGATGTTTACTCGCTTAGGCTCCTAACTGCAGTAGTAAGGAGGCTTTGGCAGGGCCCGACCTACCGCAAGCTCACAAATGTCATTTCTTCAAATTGCTCATCCTCACTTCTCTTACTCTTCTGCCTTCTCACTCTTGGGGCAAGGGTGAGGCAGGTCGCAGTACGTTGGTAGTCGGTTTCCCATTCTTAGAGGATTGTGCTGGACTAGGTACTTGGCATCAGATGCCCAGAAAGCATCCGGTTTTGAGTATTTAACGTCCCCGAAGTTAGCGTAAGGAATTGGTGCATTTCTTGCATCTACAAATTTGAATCCTGGAATTTAGAATGAGACCCCGAATCCCTATCCTGCCACACTCATGCTGCTCTACATTTTTGCTCTTTCGTCTTGATCTCTGGATAGCAGCGTCTTCCCCACGGCTCTTGGTTGGTGGTCGCTGCTGATGGCCCACACTGCAGGTGCCTTTGGTTGCTCAGCCCACAGAAGCTGAGGATCTTGTCAGGTGGAGGAGTTCATGCAGCCATGGCAGAGACTGACTCTCCCCTCCCAGTTTACTGTGGCTGAGATCCTGGGGTTTACTCCTCTGGGGCCCTTGGGCAAGAAATGAGGAGAAAGCCCTCCTCATCTTTTTCTGCCAGCCTGGGCCTCCTGATGCTAAGGCATGCATTGGGCTGTAGCATGAAAGTCTCAGGAACCCTGGCTGTGAGACTGGCAGTCTTGTGGATGGTTGTGTCACACATTTTGGAGAGATTTTGCTTTCCCAGGTCAGGGGAAGGAATGCATATGCATGTTTGGCTTTATAAAAATAAATAAGCATGAGGTAAGTGTCAATAGGTGGTTTTGTTTGGTTTTGTCATTATGTTTGGTGTGCTGTTAATGTTAACATTTGTCAGTCATTCCCCTCTCCTCCTGATTGGAGGTCAAAGGAGGTAAAACCATAAGTTTAATAGGCTTAAAATTTTGGAATGAGTTGGGTATGAGAACAAGTCACACATAGACAACTCTGTGGGTGAACTGCTGGGAATTGTGTGATGAATCCATGTAGTGTAAGAACTTCTTTCAAAACACTTGGCCTTGTGTGTTCATTTCTCGTCTACCAGCGATGATCCTGGGAGCAGAATGCACCTTGTATCCTCTTTCTTTTTCACTTCCACTATGACAGGCCGAGTTCGATAATCTTTTAAGAAGGAAATTGTTTCCTCCTTTGGAAATTCACTGTTTGATAGAGTTTGTTAACATGTAAAGATGCATCTTGGTGCTTTCTTCACATGCACCTCCTAAAACATAGTAATTTTAACTTTTGCTTGATTTCCTAGGCATTTTATATGCATGCGCATGCACGTTTCTCAAATAATAAAAAGATGCCCTCAGGCTGTGACAGCTCTGGGTTCCGGGGTGTGTGTTTGTTGATGAAGAGTTCCTTGCGTGGCCTGAGTGTGACTATGGTGCCTGTGTTACTCCAGTACTTTTGACATTGGTTCAGTTCAAAAGGATGATACTGGGCCAGCTTGATTTCACTGAAGACCAGAAAGCTTCATAGAGCTAAATAAGTATGGTTATTATTATTATTATTATTTTTTGCCATAAGGTTTCCAAACTGGAGAAGGTCTCAGGAGCTGTAACTTCTCCCCCAGATACTGGTTAGTGAGCTACCGATGGAAAAGAATCCTTTGTGGCGGTGTGTGGCAGAGGAAGGAACACTGAGCACAGTGACATCCAAAAGCCACTGAGTTAAACTTCTCTTTTCACAGAGAAGGAAGGAGAATTGCAGAAAGAGAAAGGGTCTTGCTTTGTGTCACACGTCTAGTGACAGACCCTGCAGTTTGATGACGTGAGCTCAGGACCGGAAGTCAGGTTTTGGGCTCTGCTGCTGATGGGCTCCATAGCGGTGCTGTGTGAGGGTGTGCACACACGCGTGCATGCGCGCACACACACACACACACACACATACACACACGCACACAGGCACAGCACAAGCAATCACTCACCTCAGGCTCCAGCACATGCTGCATTCCCCAGAGCTCTCCTTCTGCCAGATTTGGACAGCTCCGGGGACGAGTGGGTCCTTGTTCAGTGGGGTCGCAGACACTGCATTTCTCTTAGTGCCTGCTGTGTAAAATCCTCAAGGCCTGGCACGTCGGGCATTTGCGGCAGTGGTTGCAGCTGGCTCCTAGCCACACTTTTGTGTAAGAGTTGGACAAGCTTCTTTAAACTATTGATCTTTATCATTTTATGTCACAAGATACAATTCATGATTCATAGCCCAAAACCTAAGATGTAGCTTTTATCTTAGCATTCTCTGCTGAGAAACCTTCAGTGATCTCCTTCTGGTTCTTTACAGGGTCCAGACAGTCTACTACAACACCCATACCCGCCCTTGTGCAGCTCTGCCACTTTGCAGCCTCGAGGAACAATGAGTGCATTTTCTCTTGTCTAACACCTTTACATTGCTTGACCTTCTGTAATTTTCTTTGGGCAGCAGGAAGAGTGAGCCCAAAACCAGATTAAGCTTTTATCTTATCATTCTCTGCTGAGAAACCTTCAGTGATCTCCTTCTGGTTCTTTACAGGGTCCAGACAGTCTACTACAACACCCATACCCGCCCTTGTGCAGCTCTGCCACTTTGCAGCCTCGAGGAACAATGAGTGCATTTTCTCTTGTCTAACACCTTTACATTGCTTGACCTTCTGTAATTTTCTTTGGGCAGCAGGAAGAGTGTGGGATGAGACAGGGCAGAGGTTCAAGTGTATGAACAAACTGCATAAACGTTTGGAGCCTCCATTCTCCCACCTGCAAAATGGGATACTTTCTTGGTTTAGGTTGCGTTTAAGAGATGACTGACCTAAAATGTCCAGAGCAAGGTCTGATTCTCCACAAACACCAGAGATGTGTTTATTCCTATCATTACTTATAATGTTAATTTTTCCTTTTTCCTTATGCACTCAAATCATCACTATACTAACACAAATACACCAATTTCTCTGAGTATGTCCTTACTACCTCTAGAATGCCCAGGAGACCACTATATCTCTTTGCAGAATACACACAGCAGGGAGATTTTCGCTTCTGTCATTTTTTTTTTCATTTTGAATCATATTTTGTAAACACTGGTATACCTGCTATTACCTACGTGAGCATCCTGTAATGAAGAATTATCTTCTTATCGTCACATCTCCTAGAGTAGGGATTCCTAGGTCCAGGTGATTACCAGACAGATAACGTGAGAGGCATTAAAATATGATTTTAAATGAGCGATTTAGAGCATTCTAAATATCGTTAAAAGGGGATGGTGGCAGTAGGTGCTCCATCGATGATTATGAAATATTTTTAACAGAGATTTCTGTTGGATGGAGAAGGTTTCATCGATTCAGTTTCTGGTTTCTTGGAGTGGCCCGCTGGGATGGAAAGTGGCCCTGGGCTGTGCCTGGCCTGCCAGATTTCTCAGTTTTCTCTTTACAAGTTCTGGCTCATATGGCAAACCCCCTCCACCTTTTTTCCTAATTCAGTTCTTACTACTTGAAATTGTGCTTCAGAAAATTCTTGGTGCATTGTGTCTGTTTTGTGCACATTTGTGGGATTTCAATGAATGCCAGGTAAATACTTTCCTTTCTTATCTGTGCCCTTGGTAATTAGAAATGGCGTGACAATGTCTGTTCTTTTCTCTTACTGTTCTTCGAACAAAATTAAGGAAAAAACAGTGTCTCATTCATTTATTTATTTTTACTTAAAGCAAGCTTGCCCTATGCATTTTTGTTTTCGCCCTATACGTTTTGAATTGGTGCTTTGTGTCATTTGAACTTTGCTTTTCTTCTTAGGATAGATGGAGAGCAAAGGTGAACTGTAATTAAGTTGAGCAGTTCTGTCTCCCTTCTTAAGTTGTCTTTGTAGAATTCCTCTCTCCTGACCTTGATCTAATTTATTGGTAGTTTATTGAAATGAAGAAAAGCAAACTCCATTTATTTCTTCCCTTGATTGTGCCTTTTTGACTGCTTTCTCTTTCCAGAATGAATGCCTTAAAAGAGGACATGAAAAACCTACACAACTGCATCATTTAGATCCTGCTGGTGCAAAATACAAACTAGAGCACATGCCCTCTGTCCCCAGATCGTTTCAAGAAGAGTGTGGGTTTTGTCATCGTGAAATATGTGTTCTGAAATTATTGTGATGTTATTTCCTTGGGAAATGAGGCCTTTTTCTCCCTCACACTTGAACCTTTTTTTGGTGCTTGAATCATCAAAATGCACTGATCATCATCATCATCCCAGTCCTAAGAAAGAAACCTGGGCAAGTCTTTGTCTAGCCAGCTTCTGGGGCCCATGTGCTAGAATCGCTGTGGTTTTGTCATGGTTGTTCATTTGGAGCTTTTCTGCAGTTGTGCATTCCTTCACAGACACCAAGTGCCATGGAGGCTTGGGATTCAATTAGATGAGAGTGGCACCTGCATACAAGTCACCTCCTCTCTCTCCTGGGTGGAATTAGGGA